TGGAGATCAGAAAACTCGATGGTAATCGTTTGGCTACTAAACTCCATGGATCCTGCCATAGGTAAGCCATATTTGTTTCTTCCCACTGCTAGGGATGTTTGGGAGGGTATTATAGAGACTTATTCTGATTTAGAAAATACCTCACAAATTTTTGAATTAAAAATTAAATTATGAAAAGCTAGGCAAGGGGAGGAAGGTGTTACTATTTATTATAATGAGATGGTTTCCCTATGGGAAAAATTAGATCAATGTTATAATGATGAATGGGAGTGTCCTAAGGATAGCGTGAAAGCAATGAAAAAGGCAGAAAATGAGAGGGTTTATCTATTTCTAGCCGGGTTGAACCAAGAATTTGATGAGCTTTATTCTCGAATTCTTGGAAAAAACCCACTGCCCACTTTGAGGGAAACTTTTTCTGATATTAGGCGAGAAGAAACAAGGAAGAATGTTATGCTAAAAATAGATCCCAATCTGGAAACAAAAAATATAGATTAATATAGATTCTTTTGCGCTAGTTGTTGTGAAAAATGAAAATGACAGGAAAAAGAAGTCATGGTGTGATTTTTGCAAAAAATACTAGCACACTCGTGAGACTAGTTGGAAAATCCATGGAAAATTGTCTAATTGGAATATAAAAAAAAAGGTAGACAACCATGGCAGCCAAGCCTTTCAATCTACCAGCGAAAAATCAAGGTTGAAATCTTCTCCAGAAATGCCACCATTCACCAAGGAACAATTGGAGCTACTGCACAAACTTCTCCAATCTCAACTCCAAATCATTAAACCTGATCTTCCTACTCTTACTTGTTCTTTTACCCAAGCAGGTAATAGACCTTCTGGTTTTTTGAGTACAAATTCTACTGGTATTAGTTCTTGGATCATAGATTAAGGGGATGGTGATCACATGACATGAAATTCCCATTTTTTCTCGACTTACATTCCATCCACAGGAAATAAAAAAGTCAAAGTTGTTGAGGGGTCCTTCTCAGCAGTTGTTGGAAAAGGGACAGTCAAACTAACTGCTTTTTTTACTCTTGTTGATGCCCTTCATGTTCCAAAATTGTCTCATAATCTTTTGTCCATCAGCAAATTGACTCAAAACCTTAATTGTCGTGCTATCTTTGACTCTATTTCATGTGTATTTTAGGACAAGGTCTCGGAGAGGATGATTGACAATGCTAGAGAGTCTGAAGGTCTCTATTTTCTTGAAGATGGTGACAATTCAATAAATCTAAGTTCAGCTTATTTGAAATCTGTTCTAGTTGATAATAAAGTCATGTTATGGCACTATAGACTTGGTCATCCTAGTTTTCATTATTTGAAGCTCTTGTTACCTCAGTTGTTTATGAATAAAAGTTCATCCTCCTTTGAGTGTGAAATTTGTGAAATGGCTAAACATAGACGCTCATCTTTTTTCTTCCTAAAAATATCATGCAACAAAACCTTTCAAGTTGATCCATAGTGATGTTTGGGGACCTTATAGGGTAGCAACTAAGATGGTTTGTGAGTTTCATAGATGATCACACTAGACTAACTTGGGTGTACCTATTGAAAGACAAATGAGAAGTAAAACATATGTTTGAGGCTTTTTATGTTATGGTTAAGACACAATTTCATGAGAAGATTCAAATATTTCGGAGTGATAATGGGAGAGAGTTTTTCAATGACCGGCTAGGCAGTTTTTTCACTTCCAAGGGAATAGTGCACCAAAGTTCATGTCCTAATACACCCAACAAAATGGAGTAGCTAAAAGAAAAAATAGGCATCTTATGGAAGTAACTAGGGCCTTAATGTTCACAACTGAAGCCCCTAAATTTCTTTGGGGAGAAGCTCTTTTAACATACACCTATCTTATTAATAGGATGTCTTCCCGTGTTCTAGGTTTTAAAACCCCTTTCAGTATGTTTAAGACATATTTTCCTAATTCTAGATTGACCGCTGACCTATCCTTGAGAGTCTTTGGGTGTAGTGTATTTGTTCATACTCATGATCATAATAGGAGTAAGCGTGACCCACGGGCTAAAAAATGTTTTTTTTGTTGGCTATGCCCCTAGTCAAAAGGGATACAAGTGCTATGACCCAAATACTAGGAAGGTTATTGTCACAATGGATGCCACTATTTTTTGAATCTCAATTGTTTTTTGGAACTCATCTTCAGGGGGAGAAACATAGAGAAGATTCGAGGGATAATAAGGATCCTCTTGACCTCACATGTAAGGAAAAAAATGATCTAGGTTTCATGATAAATATGGGAAATAGTATTTTTGGTAATAACCTAGATAAGGTAAGAGATCCCAACTTAAAAATTGAAAATGAGGAAACTGAGACAATACAACTTCTTCATGATACAATTAATGACAAGAATAGGGAACAAACAAAGGAATTACATGTTTAGATGAGAAGAAACCAAAACAAAGAAAAAGAGATCAAGGACTCATATCAAAACTAAATGTCCACCGCGCAAGATCTCACTGATACACAAGGTAATTCAATAGAACCTAATTCTGATTTACCCCTTGTTACTTTAGACCTTGATCTTTCAATTACTAAACGTAAAGGGGTAAGAAAAGTCACCAACCATCCCATGTCAAATTTTGTGCCATATAGAAACTTGGCCCCTTCCTATATATCTTTCCTTTCTCAATTATCTGGAATGGAGATACCGAGAAATGTGCAGGATGCTTTGAATGTTCCCAAGTGGAAAGAGGCAATTCTAGAGGAGATGAATGCTCTTGATAGAAATGAAACCTGGGAAATGGTGGAACTGCCACGTGGAAAGAAAATAGTGGGTTGCAAATGGGTGTTCACCATCAAAATTAAATAAGATGGGTCCCTGGAGAGGTATAAGGAACATTTGGTAGCAAAAGGGTTCACTCAGACCTATGGGATTGACTATCTTGAGGCATTCGCTCCAGTTGTGAAGTTGAATTCAATCAGGGTTCTTCTGACCATTGCTTTCAATCTTGATTGGCCCCTTTAACAACTAGACGTCAAGAATGCATTCTTGAACGGAACGCTTGAAGAAGAAGTCTACATGAATCCTCCTCCGGGTTTTGAAAAAAGGTATGGAACTAGAGTGTGCAAGCTAAAGAAATCTCTCTACGAGCTCAAACAATCTCCAAGAGCTTGGTTTGAGAGGTTTACTCAGTTTGTAAAAAAACAAGGGTACAATCAAGGGCAATCAGATCATATCATGTTCATTTGACACTCTCTTCATGGAAAGACAACTATCCTGATAGTATATGTCGATGATATCATACTAACAGGAGATGACTTACCCAAAATGAAAAATTTTAAAAAACAGTTGGCCTTAGGGTTTGAGATCAAAGATTTGGGCCAATTGAAATATTTTCTTGGCATGGAAGTAGCAAGATCAAAAGAAGGCATTATGGTGTCACAAAGGAAGTATGTACTAGATCTTCTAAAAGAGACAGGTATGAGTGGTTGTCATCCAGCTGAAACACCTATTGATCCAAATATGAAATTCAGAAACAAAGAAGGAAATTCAGTTGACCAAAGTCAATATCAGAGATTAGTGGGAAAGTTGATCTACTTATCACACACTCGGCCTGATATAGCTTTTGTTGTAAACTTAGTGAGTCAATTTATGCACTCTCCAAAGGAAGAGCACCAAGAAGCAGTCTACATGATTCTAAGATATTTGAAAAGTTCACCAAGGAAAGGTTTGTTTTTCAAAAAGGGACAAGATAGGGGCATTGAAAGCTTTACAGATGCAGATTGGACAGGTTCTACTATTGATAGGAGGTCTACATCAGGATATTGTACTTTTATATGGGAAAATCTAGTTACTTGGAGGAGTAAAAAGCAAAATGTTGTAGCCCGTAGCAGTGCTGAAGCTGAATATCGATCTATGGCCCATGGGATCTGTGAAATGATTTGGCTCAAGAAGATGATGGAAGAACTAAAAAAATTGTTTGTGTTACCAATGAAGTTGTACTATGACAACAAAGCTGCCATAAGTATTGCTCACAATCCAGTTCAACATGACAGAACAAAGCATGTTGAAGTGGATAGAAAGCATGTTGAAGTGGATAGACACTTCATAAAAGAGAAGATTGAAGAAGGAAACGTGTGCATGCCTTTCGTCACAACAAATAAGCAAATTGCAGATATTTTCACAAAAAGCTTGTTTAAACCAAAGTTTGAAATTTTTGTAAGCAAGTTAGGCATGACAGATATTTACATGCCAACTTGAGGGGGAGTGTTGATTTGTAAAATATCTAAGTGTGATCAGATATGATTTTGTAGGATTTAAATTGATGTTATAAAATTATATCTGATACGTTATTGAATAGGTTAGGATATTAGATCCAATAAAATCATCCATTGATTCTCAAATCTACCAGAATCAAGGGATTTGATTGCTAGATAGTTTGGTTTTCTATAGTTTGGATGAATAATATTGTACAATTTTGGTACCAAAACTTACGACTAATTTTATTAATGGGAATCAAAACTCAAAGAATATATGTTGGTCTACAACCCATAGTTATGTAACAATTTTATTAATGAGAATCAAAACCTTAAAGTTATTATAATTATTAAAGTAGAGGAAACGTTTTTAGCAATTCCTAGACGATTGTCCTTATATTTAGATAAATTTTAAAAATACCAAGTTCCTTGAAAATTTTCTTAACTCCAAAAATTCTTTAATGATTGTTATATTTTAATAAATTTTAAAAACGCAAAAATTTTATAGTAAAATAACAAATAAAGGAAGAAAAGGCAAAATATAAAAGTTATACAGTACTTGTATTTAAATAATTTATATCCAAATCCTAACTGCGCATCTGTATTTGGTTAAATAAATTTACATACAATTTAAATAATTTAAGGAAATATAATAACTTATATATAGACATGAATTAGGGTTTAGAATTAAATAGGTCCACGAATCCTAATTGGAATTGAACCCTATAAAGTCCAACTCAAAGTAGAATCCCAAAAAATTTCAAGGTCTGCATATAAAGTCCCAACTCAAAGTATATTCAATGACGCTTGAAACAACTGCTGATTTTGACACTACTACTGTCTACGCAGGATGATGGACCGATCCCCTCGCAATTGTGCAAAAACAGACAAGATTGAGGTAGAAACTGGAACTGATTGGATCAGTGCGTTGCCGAACTCTGTTATTGTTGAAATTCTTTGTAAAATCCCTATTACAGATGCCTGCACAACAACTATTCTCTCTAAACGTTGGCAAAACATGTGGACTTGTATCCACGACCTGAATTGTTACCGCTCGAAGACTTCGACTGGTTGGTCTGCTAAGAGGTTTATTTCCTTCATCGACAATGCACTCCCTCTTCTTACCACATCTAAAATTGAAGGCTTCACTCTACATTTCAGATCTAACATTGCTCTATCAAATTATAGTTCCAAACTCAACAAATGGCTTCAAATTGTATTGAAGAAAAAAGTGGAGAATCTTCACCTAGATTTATGGTATTACCATGATTCCATGTACTTGTGTTTCAATGGTGATCGCTATAGCTTGCCACAAGATCTTTGCAGCAGTTCATCACTTCTAAACCTTAAATGCCAATATTGCAGAATACCAGAAGACCGTATACTCAATTGGACATCCCTAAAGAGTTTAACACTAACATCTCTGCTTCTCAGTGATGAACACATGAAACAAATAACATCAAATTGTCATCATCTGGAATCTTTGAAGCTGTGTGATTTTTGTGGTTTTCATCGTTTGCATTTAACTTCCCCAAATTGTACGAGACTTGAATTGAGTAACCACACACATCCTCTTAACTATATGGGAGATGAGTGTTACTTTGAAATTGTTGCTCCATATGTTCAACATTTAAAGATTTCTGGGGATTTTGTTGGTGTGGAAATTAGGCTTGGAGACCTGTCGTCTTTGATCCACGCTGATCTTACTTACCACTGGTATGACTTACATGGATTAGATGATGTAATTAACAAAAGCATAGTGAAAGATCACTTGACAAGTGTAGCATGTGCTAATGACTTAATCATCTCATCCTTGTATATCGAGGTCAGTTTACTCTACCATGTCTTTTTATGCAAACATGAATATATATAGCTCATCTCTTTTTTATTTATACTAGTATGTAGATGACCTATCGTCTATCGAGTGGTGTTAAGTAATATTTTTGTTGGTAAACATCATCTTTATTACCAAAAATGGTATAGGAACCAACAACATATTGACCACCTTACACCTGTTTCCTCATATAACAGACTAGTCAGTTTGTGTTGTTCTTTGCTAATTTTGGAAGACTATAATTTCTTTCTTGCAAGAGATAATATACTTCACTAGTCATGGTCTTTCGGACAACCTTTTGGTGCTTGAGATTAACTTATATTCACTAGTCATGGTATTAACAAAAAAAGATGATGTCCTAGGAGTATTCAGATTCTTCAGGGAAGCTCAAGCTAGTTAGAAATTGTTCTATCTTCAAACATGTAACTAGGAGATATGCCTTTCCTATGATATCCTTTTACCATCAGTTGACTCATCAATGATCCTCCTAGGCACAAAATGTCCTTGACTACTATATATCAGTCTCATTGTCAATGTATCACTCCTTGCAATCTCTTCTCATGATTTTAGATACTGTCTTTTACAAGACAGTTCAACAAGATATTGGTCTAAATTCTTTGATATTTCTTTTGAGATGTGACGTACTCAAAATTCATTCCTTGCAATGCTAACCTGTTACCAGTAAACAGACTAGCCCAATTTTGATTGTCCTTTAGCTTGGGGATGCTGGCCTGCCTGCCTGCGGTCGGGTGCCTTGACATAGTGATTATAGTAGTAGGAGTGGGGGTGGATTGTGCAGTACTTCCCGCACATGCCAGCTCTAGCTTCTTAGTATATATTGCTAATAGGTATGGGACTTCAATTTGGTAAAATCATCAACAGGTCCTTTAACACCTATCGTATTTGCTGCTGTTACTGGGGTTTTACAGATAATCCTTTCTCTGGTAGCTCGATTTTCCTATCAATCCTCAGCCGGCATCTGCCTTTAGCCCTTTCCGGCAAGGTGCAAAGTAGTAAATCACACACTAAATTGCATGAGAGTAAAACTAGAGGTCGGAGGGAGTAGTACTATATATATAGTTTGGTATGTTTTTAAGCCTTATAAATTTGATATTTTGTTACTCAATACACTTAGATGAATCTACGTCTATCTCATGTATAGATGATTTCCATGTTGATATTGCAAAAAGAAGATGTTCCATTACCGTTGTTAGAGTGCAAACGATTGACGATAAATTCTTGGACTAGCAAATATACCTTCTTTGGCATCGACAGACTATTAAGTTCAACTCCTTGTCTAGAGAATTTGACAATACATCTTAAAAAGGTACGTATGCATGATGTTTTCAACTGATTTAATGCTTTGAAATACTTTTGTTTTGTCTTCACTCAGTTTCTTCATATATCTGTTCTGTTTAGTTAGTGAGAATAGTGTTTGATATAGCTAGGGTTCTGATTTTTATGTGTGACCTGCACTGAAGACTATATTTTACAATGAGTACTTAGTAGTTCCTGTTTTGTTTGGCATAAAAGTGTTACTATTACACTCCCATTGATTTCCTACAACTTCAAAACTGCAACATCTTACTCGTAAAAATGCACTTAATGAAAGATCTTGTCTATTAATATTTATTTCTGATATATGTTGTTAAGCTATTGCCCTCATTTAATAATATCCTGTTTTGTGGTTCTTCTGTATCCTTAGGACTCTACTTTCTTAAATTACTGGTGTGAAGACATGGATATGTTGGAAGACATATTTGAAGGTTCCTTGAGGAATCTGAAAATCTTAAAGGTTATTTTACAGTGGAGTCTCTTCATAAATCACATAACAACAGAGCAAACTAAAGTGATGAAGTACTTGCTTGAGCGTGCAAAAAATCTGGAGAAACTGGTTATAGTGCCAACGAACAGTGGTTGTTCAAAAATGATAAAAAGTTTGTTAGCTCTTCCGACAGTTTCTAATACAACTCTACTTGTATCTGTAGAACCGCTTGCTGATGTTGAGTATGAGTAGGTTGATCCCGTTTGTTTCCCAGAATATTTCGTCTTCACATTTATTTGATAGCTTTTATATAAGTAGTATTTTATTTTATTTTGGTGCAAAATGAGATTATTTTAAATTGGGTAAAATTCCAAAATGTCAATATTTTAGCATTTAAAAGGACCCCTTGGCCACACTTTCAATAATTATTAAAAATGTCAAAATTTTAGTTTGTTATGTTTATATTATTTATTTTTATCAAAAGAATACAATTGTTTAATAATAGAAAGAAAGGAGAAATTTTACTAATATTTATAAGCTATAGATGTTTTTAATAATTATGTTAGCATTTTTTACTAGTTTGCTAATTTATTCATAAAACATTCATAGAAAATTAAATTAAGAAGTCTAATAGAGAAAAAACACATCAACAAACTTACAAGGAAAAAATACAATGTTTATATCCTTCAGACTTTGATCAATAATAATATAGATGGAAAAATAAATACAAAATTAGTACATAATTATTGAGTTCTAATTGACTCATTCTCCCATATCCTATCAAAATTCATGAGATTTATTCATCTACTTTAACTATAGAATAGAATAAAAATGATAACCTTGGATTTCATAAAATAAAAAGGTTGAATTTATATAGATAATGTCACACCCCGAGCCTACACCCTGGACGTGGCCGGCACTCGAAGACCATTGCTGGCCCCCAAGCGAACCCTTGGTCTGGCTTACTTAACTCAGCGGAAACCTTAACTCAACAGAATAACTCCACGCAATGCAAGGTCATAAAACAACCTAACTGATAAAATCTGGCCAAAAAGGCAAGTCAAGTCTCAAAATAGAATATTTATATATATACATAGATGAGAGACTCAATACTAACTGACTGACTGTCAATGAAACCTCTATAATACTGAGATGGATGTTGGGACAGACCCCGCAACATCCTAATAAAACAAAATTAGGAACACAAAATAACAGAGTCCTCCGGAATGCAAGGAGGCTCACCACTGACTCTGGAGTGCTCAACTGGATCAACGGCGTGCTGGATGATGATCCTGGGTACCTGCGTCTGCATCATAATAAGATGCATGCCAACTGGCATCAGTACATGGAATGTACGAGTATGCGAGCTGGAAAGCTAAACCACAACTTAAGCTTGAAAAAAGTACAAGAGAACACTTACCTTGGCTCTGTTC